ATATAAATGCGTGGACTATTTTACAGCCGAGAGAATTTACTTGCTTAAATAAAATACATACAGTTTCAACAATTAATACCTATTTAACAATCTTAATGCGCAAACGTTTCGACTCTGCTCTGAGTCCTTTTCAGTGCGGAAGATATGAAAGTTACCTTTATAAAAACTCCACGGAAAAGATCTCTGTTGATCTCATCGTCTCTTTTCTCCATCGTCACAGATTAATTAGATCCAAAAATTCATAGTCAAGTGAACGGTTAACTCTTAGACAGATGTCTGCCATCTGAGTACATAAATCAAGAGGTTAAAATACAGTATTATATACAAGCAAAAGTAAAATTAGAATGTTAAGCAGAAACTTATATTAAGAAGAGATCAAATCCGACAGATTGTTAGCAATGTTAATGTCAAAATGGCTAAGCTAGATGGAGACAAAGACCACAGTATATGTAATTCTCCCTTCAGCTCACTCCCAACTACGCACAGGATAATCGCAAGCCTATAATCTTTTAAAATGTTGCAAAAGTTCGAAATACGACAGGTCTATAATAAAAGCTCTGTATCACTTTGTACATTCAATCCTTCTTCCTGATTCTTCATAAATCATTTCTGAAATTCTGCGTTTATTCATATTTAATTCAATATCCAAAATTGGTACGTTATCCTAGTCGAAATCATGCTTAAACTTAATGCTATGTTCCGTAATAACAGAGAATTGGGAAGCATTTCTTTTTATGTGATTCCTAATATGTTAACCTATTTTGACATTTAGCAATCTTTTAGTTTGTCCGACATAGGACGCACTGCATTCTAAGTAATTAATTTTAAATACCACATTGGTCATACTAAAGCGAGGAGTCGAATCTTTAATTACTTTGATAAATTTGTTTATATCGTCAAAAGCTAGTTTACAGATCTTGATATTCTTAAAATATTGGCAAAACTTATTGGCCACATTGGAGATTGAGACAAACGGAATGGGAATAACCCTACGCCCTTCATTTCCATCCGTAGCATTTCTGTTATTGAAGACAGCGTTATTATTAATTTGATGAACTTGTTTTGTAAAACCTTTTTATATCTACGGAGGTTTCCATTGGCATATTGAATTATTGTAATTTATTAATAATTTACTTCAGGGAGAAAGAGGTCTACCAGGAACGAAAGGAGAAGAAGGTAAGATAGGACTTCTCGGACTTCCTGGACTACGAGGATTGACTGGTTCCGAGGGACCAAAAGGTGATGTTGGATTACCTGGTCTTCCTGGTCCACCCGGAGAACCCGGCCTCATGGGCGTGAAAGGTGAGCCTGGAAAGGACGGCGAGGATGGACGAGCAGGCGATCCTGGCGTACTAGGTGAAGCTGGACTACCTGGCAAGGAAGGATTACCGGGTACTCCTGGGAAACCGGTAAAAAAATTTTTTATCCCTTTATTATTTATATTAATATTAATATACTAATTTATATTAATAATAGATTAGATTAAGATACCCTGTGTTATGCAAGAGAAATTTCTAGATAAGCTAATAGCTTAGTTGCAATCATATTTGATATTAGATATAATTTAGTAAAAAAAATATTTAAAAATGTAATTTTAAATATCTAAAAAATTTCTAAATATAACATTTAAAAAATTAATTTTATTAATATTATTAAAATATTACTTTCTAGGGTTCAGAAGGGCCGGCGGGTCAGCAAGGTAATACAGGATTGCCAGGAGAGAAAGGAGACATCGGTCTTCCTGGCGCGCCGGGTCTCCAAGGACTTATCGGACCTCAAGGCTTTCCTGGTTTACCTGGCTTGCCAGGAGAAAGAGGTTTGCCAGGAGCGGCTGGAGAAAACGGGCTCTTAGGTATGCCGGGAGCCAGTGGCGCTCCTGGAATTATCGGACCGATTGGTCCGCAAGGTCAGAAAGGTGATAAAGGTCGTAGAGGTATTAAAGGACATAGAGGCGAACTAGGACTCGTTGGAATCAAAGGCGATCATGGAAAGCAGGGAGAGAAAGGTGAACGTGGACTCCCTGGAACGGAAGGGCTTAAAGGAAATCCCGGACGTCCAGGTAATACTGGACTCAAAGGGGAACAAGGATTTGTCGGTCTACCTGGACCACCGGGACCGTCCGGGCTGAAAGGAAATGTCGGGAATGATGGGATGCGAGGTGACGTAGGTCCAGAGGGTCCGCCAGGTCCACCAGGACCACCTGGCTTAACAATTGGACAATCTGATTTCGACGGGATAATACCGCCGATGATATTTCGTGATCAATCGGCCAGAAGAAAACGCAATTCTCCCGAAGATATGTAAGAATTTTATTACTTGATCTAGAATAGAATCTGCAAACGTTACATTAAAAGCTGTATTATTTTTATAACATTTTTTATAGGCTTTATTTTTAAATTTATAATTAAATTATAAACTTTTTTTATATTATATAATATATACAGGGTTGGGTAGTAGTTGGGTAGTAGTATTGGTCAACATTTACTAAGAAAATCATTTAATCTTTATTCAGAATTCTTTTCACCGGATTTCCTCATTTTTTGTAAAAAAAAATATTTGTTTCAACTTTAACAGAATTGTGCTACGTCTTTCCGTTATCCGATTGAGCTTAGCTTTTACACAATTTTTTTTCTCACGAAATGGAACAACTTTAGGGGGCGTCGTGAAAAAAAATTCGGAAAAAATTTTTCACCAAGTATAAATAAGATCCTAATATATATATATATATATATATAT